TCCTTCCATACACAAATACAGACAAGCACACTGCCCCACCCTGATGCATTCCTACCAAAATTACCAGTTGAGATATTACTGAGTTTTAGAGCATATTTGTTTTAACAAAAATGAACATTTTCAACATTGCAGCTATAAAAAATAAGACATTACCAACTTTAAAACTGAAAAGTTTCCTTATACACATTCTGAAGTAATCATTAATTCCTAGGTTTCAGAGTTTTAGTTCAGGGGAAAGTTTAACTGAACCTGAACTAAGTTTTTATTTTATTTTATGAGCATTAAAGTGTACCTCCTATTTTTCATTTTTTCAAAGCGGTCAAACACTAGACTGTGACTCAGCTTAGAAAGTTCTGCCTTTTCAACTGATAAAATAGCAAGATGATGGAGCCTGTCATGTCCCATTGTGCACCTCAGCCAAGTGTGGATCCTTCTCAACACACTGAATGACCTTTCACAACTACAGCTGTTGACTGGGATGGTGAGGAGATCTGGATGACCTGCGTTAGTGTTGGGAATATGATGCTATCAAGCAAGTTGAAAACACACTGCATATCCTTGATGACAAGGCTTTCTTTTTCAACCATAAAAAGCTTTCAAACCATTTTGAATTAAATGAAAGTTTTTTTACTCCAAAATTGTGGGGATAGTGGGACAACTTCACTTGTCTAGGACCATCATGCTTTCCCCCTAAGTCACTAATGTCCCCTTCTTATTTGTGGACGCTGGTTGTTGCTCCCTCATCACCTTCATGGTCCTGTCTCTCTCCTGTCTCTCCTGTCTCTCACCTGTCTCTTGCCTGTCTCTTGCCTGTCAGTCTCGCCTCCTCCTCCCTTTCCTACTCCAGCACCTTCATTCTCTACAGCAAACATTAAAAAACAAAAATCTATAATTATGTAAATATCTATCATATTGCTTATAACGTTCCTAATGTAACTGGTTACATTAAATCACTAATTCATCACGGGACCTTACCTCCCTCTCTCATCTTGTTTTACTGCTTCTCTGCTTCATGTGAGGAATTTCCTGATATCCATCTACAAACCAATGCAGTAATTTTCAGTTAGTAGCCTATAAATCATGTGGTTTCACTGGGAAAATAATAAAATTGACAGGTAAGAAATGTTACCAGAACTAAAAATGCGTCGCGGCCGCACAGTGTCCCATCCAACTCAGTGAGAGCTGCGTGTTAATTTACCTGCAGTTCATGCAGTGACATGCGCTGACGAGGGGGCGCTAATACATCCTCAATTTGGAGTTAACAACACACTTGCTGCGCATTTGAGTAGAAATATACGTCTCCTTCCGTTGGAATTATCTAAATTGATGCATTAAAAAAAAAGTATTACTTTTGCAAATAGTCATGAGATTTATACTGGGGCACAGCTCATTTATACTGGGGCACGTGCCCCAGTAAATGGGGTCTGGCGACGCCGATGTGCGAGCGGCAGTGGGCGGCCCTCGCAGCTCAGTGCCGCTCGGCCTATCGCAACCGCGGGAGCCAAGCAACCGCCGCCTCCTTGCTCCTTCCCAGCCAGCAGAACAAGTTCCACACTTCACCTCCGGACTAACTGGAGACAACCACAGCTTTGGTCAGGAAGGGTTAAACTAGGATAAAAAGACAATAAATGGGACAAATCTCATCCGTCGGATAAACGCTGCGGCCATCACAGTTGGTGGGTCTAAAGTGATGTTGCCACATGACAACGTAAGCTTGCTATCAGCGATCTATGTTAAGACACAACATTTGAAGCAAATATGCTTACAGCAAAAAGGCTTATAACTTTGTAGGAGACATTAAGTGAGATGATCTTGTTGGGAACTACAGTCATTCGGGATATAGTGAAAAAAGTGACTTTCTTCCCTCAGGGGGCAGGGCTTTGATGATGTCATCATTTGACCAGCCAGTATCGTAGAGCAACCAAAGAGGCTAATTACTGCCAAACTTGGTTGGATTTGGATTTTTTTTGTAAAAGTTATTCCATTTCAAATTTCTGGAGAAGTACTCTAACTACGGGGCGCCAGAGGACCCCTTCAGTATAAAGGAAAACAACAAAAAAAAGAAGATTTTTAGATCTCACACCAAGTTTGAAGCCGATGGCTCAAAACCCCTGGGAGGAGTTAATTAAAGTTTGACGTCAACAAGATTGAAAAATTACCAAAAATCGGCCTTTGACCCAAAATGGCCGACTTTCTGTAGGTTTTAGAACATACCTCCAATAGACCTTTTGTCATGATTCGTTGATATCTACCTACCTGCCAAATCTCCAATCTCTGCGACTTATGGTTTTCCCCATCTCACTTTAGGGGGCGCTGTAGAGGCATTTTGCCATCCCACTTTGAATTCATTAAGATACGTACATTTTCGCAGGGGGACAATTTGCTGCCAAGTTTGGTGAGTTTTTGAAAATGTTAAAGCTTCCAAAAAGCCACTTCTTTTGTAAGGAGAAAAATAATAAACAGTACAGATACAATAGGCCTTTGCAGCGCTGTCGCTGATCAGGTCTAATAAGTAGTAGTTTAGGGTATATTCTGTGAAGTGGTGCAGAATATCTTAGTTATAGTAACCAATCTTGGCTCCTATAACATCTTGAAAGAACAAAAGGGAGAAATAAAATTGTGGTTTATGATAAATGTGTTTAATGAACCTTTCAACTATTTCATATTCACATTGGGTACGTGATTATAAAGAAGCAGCATGGTTTACAGATTTTTACGTTGCTTTAAGTTTTTTTTATTAGGGACTTGCTTTAATTAGAATATGTATTTAATTTTCTGTAAACGTTTCCTCAGGAAGATCTTTGGGAGTGTATGACCTCCATCCTTAAACATAAAGTTTTACTGTATACATGGACGAAATTTTGATTTCAGAAGTGTGTGTGTGTGGGGGGGCTAAGTATTTTTTAATAAAACTAACTTCAGCGTGTTTGACCATCCAATCACAGACCCGATTCAGTGGCACATCAGATGTTTGTAAAGTCAGCGTCTCAGGAGTGATGGCACTGACAGCCAATCACACAAGAAAAGACGGTGGGCCAGTTAGGAGCTCGTGGGCGGTCTGAACTCAGGGAATCGGGCTTCAGCCTTAGCTGCGGTTTTGTGCTTGGTCCTAGTGCTCAACATTTGTCTGTGTATTGTAGCGTAACATTGTTTTTGGACGGTAAAACGTGCAGGGGACCAAAACGGACGTTTAAAAAAATGCAGTCTCAAGAAAGACAAAATAAAGTTTTTTAGTAGCAGGATATTCTATATTTTATAAGCGGTTTGCCCAAAGAACAACCATTTTTATCCAATATATATCCAACACATGGCTGAAATCTGTTGGATTAATGTCTACATACACACCCCTGTAGAGATACATCTACACAGGCATTAACGCTGCAGTTAATGCTTGGATTCATTCATTTCCAACACTAACTGAATAATTAGAACCAAAGTTACAAGCTAATTCTGGAAAGAAATGTCATGTGAATCTAAATAAATACAGTTTTTTAAAAAGTTATTATAACATATTCCACCAAAGCAAGAAATGTCCCCATAAAAAATTGGTAATATTTTAAAATATTTATCACTTGTCTATCCATATATTTGCTTCAAGGCGTATCTATGTTTTTTTTTTATTTAGAGGTGTTTTCATCTGCCCCTTTATTTAATTTTAAGAACATGAAAAAAAAACTGTGTTGAAAAAGAAGTACCGGAAATACTAAATAAAAGAATCACAAACTAAATAAATGATTAAATAAGCACTAATATTTATATTTCAAAATATATTTAGTTTAATTACATTGGGATATTAATTTATTTGATGGGATATTAATTAAGAATTTATTTATACCTTTTTTTTTATTATTTGAATATTGGATTGAAAAAGCTCTTCATACCTATTAGGCTGACAAATATTGCACCAAAACGTCTTTTTTTCTGAAAAGTTCTCTGTTCACAAACAGTGGGATGATTAAAAAAGTAGCTCAGTCACAAGGAGAATCTGATTTCACAAAACAAAGTCTTGTGTTTCTTTAGATTATGATACGTAGAGGTCCAAATAAATGTCAGACATTAAGACTCACCAAGATTTTAGTCTCAGTTTGAGAGGATCTAAAAATGAATTAAATGTTCCACCTACATTTTTTGAAGTACACGTTAATCAGAATTTTTAAAAGAACTGTCTCCAATAGCAGATATGCCAGACAGAGCGTGTCTATGCCCACTGAGATTGCAGTGTAAACTGTACAAATACTTCTATGCAGAGTCACAGGATGAGTTTATTATAAAAATTCAACTTACTAAATACCTGGAAAATATTTAACAGCAAAACCAAGGACAAAGCATTATCCACATTTCATATTTAACATCTATCAGTGATCTATACCCAGTTATGACTGATTCACACAAATAGACTGTTCTCCCTGCTGCCCTCTGGGAAGAGGCTTCGCAGCATTTGATGCAGGTCCAGCAGATTCCGAAACAGCTTCTTCCCCACCGCCATTAGACTGCTAAACTGTTGAGAAAACTCTAAATCATGTCACAGACTCTGCATCAAACTGACAACACCAAACCAAAACAATGCATATTTGCACTATAATATATTTAATGCTCTGAACTTCCATATCAATGCATGTTTTTGCACCACGTTTTTTTTTTTCTCCCACACTGTTTACATTTGATCACTGCTGCACTTTAAGAAATGGAAATGTCATGAAAGTTGTACAAAACTAAATTTTGTATGCAAAATGACAATAAAAGTTGACTAAGTCTAAGACTCACTCCTAAGGGGATTTCAATCATGTTTTTTGACTATGCAATGGAGCCAGATAACTCAGAGAGATTTTATGCTTGCATTTTTCTGCAAGACAATGACAACAACATTTGGGCTACCAGGATGCAGATTATATAAACAGTTGGATTACTGAAGATAAAAGAGTGTCATGATACATTATAATGTGGATGAAACCTATAGATGATGGTAAAACATTCAGGTGCTGTTTTGTTTTCTCCTGCAGGTCATTGAGTCTCTGGGCATCATGATCTACAAGGCTCTGGACTACGGGCTGAAGGAGAATGAGGAGAGGGAGCTTAGTCCTCCGCTGGAGCAGCTCATTGATCTTATGACCAACTCAGCCGAAGCTGAGAAGGAAGCCTGCCTTGATGAAGGCTATGAGGCAACAGAAGAAGAAGACGAAACACAACAGGACTTTAACAGCATCTCCAGAGTTCGTAGCTACAGAGATATCCTGAAGGTTGGTGGCTGAAGAATTCAAATTGTTTCATATACAGTATGCATGTTTTATGGTGGAGTTTATTGGCAAGGGGCTGATAACTGTTAATTTACCACTCTAGGTAAGACTTTATGACTGTTATATGTATTATTGTTGTGACTATTTAATCAAATAATTTTTGGACTTGGTTTTGTGAGTACACGCCCATTTGGCTGTGTGTTAGGACAACAGAAAACTTTGATTCAACCTTAAACCATGCTCAAACAGTTAACTGCGCACAGATATTCACAACAACTTCTTGAAGTTAAAAGCTCTTAACTAAGCAAGTACTATTTACAAATGGAAAAAAAGGCAAAATGAGGAGGGTTGAAAACCATTATCAATAAAATTGTGGATTTTTATCATAGTTGAGCATTGATTTTTATGCTTGAATCCCAATATTTCTTACAAAATAGGATGAAAATAATATCTTATTAAAAGATTTACGTAATCAGAAATCAATTTAGATAACACACTTTTAACCCCCTGTGATTGTTCTTGGGAATGATCATCTGTAATAGCAGTTGTTGACGGTGTATGCACAGTCGATGCCTCCCTCCATGATGGTGTCACTGCTGAACAGAGCACCAGGCAGGAGGTTGTAACCATGATTAAAAAAAGCAGAATGTGTAAATATGTTTAGCATATAAGTAAATCATGAAAATGAGAGAATAGAAGCAGAGTTAAGAAATGTGGTCTCTATGTCCTCCAGCAGTCTAAGCCTATAGCAGCATAACCATAGAGATAGCTCAGGATAATCTGAGCCACTCTAAATGAAAGGAAGCTAAAATAGGAGAAATATGGTATTAGAATGATTTTTTTTTTGTGTACTTACAGTCTCTAGTAGTGCATATAAGTTGAATTTCTCCCCTCCAGTTGCTGCACAAATATATTAGAATTCTGTTTGGGCATATTTTTCAATCGGTTCAGTAGAGAAAATACCAATTACTTTTCTGTCACTGACCAATCTGAACTGGAAGCACCATCAGGTCATTTGAACATACGCAGTCAGAAATACTTCCGGGTCACAATTGCTTACACTTTATGAAAAAGGACCAAAATTACTTATTTCTATCACTAATTATAAAACGACATCATATAAAAGTTTATAACAGCTGTGCTGAGAAAATACATAAAATTTGATCCTTTTTTGTCATATCATTCATCTGTTCTGGGAATCTGGAAATTGCGATCTCTGGCCTACTTCAGGCAGCACATTTGCCGCTTATTGATTTATAAATAGGGTAATTTTTGGGTTTATGTTTCCACTTCATCATACCTGTATATTATATAGTACATAATCTTAAGAACTACATGATTAAGATACAGATAATCATGTTGCAATCGTATTAACCAGATTGCTCTGAGCATGTCTGATGGCAACGTTATAAAGGCAACATGATGGAAAGAAAGTAAACGTATCCATTCTCTCAGCAGAGTTGTTATAAACATATTTTCCCAATGTATTTTGACTTAGTTTAATGATTTAAGGATAGAAATAAGTACATTTGACACTGTAATGTCGTTATTTAATGCCAACCTGTATTCGTTTATGGTTGCACGTGTACAAATTAGCTTATTGTTCTGATTATACTTCTGGTACAGATCTGGTAGTGAAAATTCCAAGTAGCATGTCTGTGGTTTGGTTTTAAGATTTTAAAGGGAGACTTAACTAAGTCATGTTTCATCAGTAACTCTGTCCACATCATTTGAAACATGGCTGTAAACATAGAAATTAGTAGAACCTGAGTGCTACCTTGCTCACCCCCCCTTAGATTGGTGAAGCTATGGCTCCCATTGGAGTACTGAGTCACTTTCTCTTTCCTTACATGGCCTCTTGTTGTTTGGATAAAAAGGCAAACTAATACATCAACACTTCTCTGCCACACTGGAGCAGCATGACATGCTGGCAGCTATGGCTGACCAGCTGTCACTTTAAATCGTTCCAACAGACGTTACAATATCTCTGCCCTTGTTCTACTGTACTAACCCCGTTCCTAGGTAAAATTATTAGCAACTCTTAACTGGTATACCCTTATAAACCAAAATAAAAACACTAAATCTTATGAAAAATTTAACTAAAAAAGGAAAATCATCTGTGCCTGCTGAAAGGTAGTTTCACCAAACAAAATTTCTTTAAGTAAGATTATGATGTAAAGATGGACACTGAATATGATAAATTGAATATTACCTATCACTTCTAAATCCAAGGGTTTGCTTTTTAGGGTAAGAACCAAATGACTTGCAGTTTTTCACAATATTTTATCTTAAAAAAAGAATATGTTTTGGAGAAGTGGATAATTTGTTGCTAAGACATTACTGAGCATTAATCAAATAAATGCTTCAAAGAGCAAAAATCCTGCTTTACTTTGTTTGATTTGAAATTCTCTCCATATTATCACTGGTATTTTGGACTTTCTCTGCATATGATCCCCACAGCTGATGTAGATTTTAATGAAAATTAATCTAATATTCATTTACATGATTGTTGTTGGAAGTGAAATAAAAACTGGTGCTAATCGCGCCATGATCATAGTCTATAGGAATAATAACGCATTACTTGGTTTTTCTAAAATCCTGCCCCCTTTCTTGTATCGTTCTTTTCTTTTTTTTCTTATCTCACTACGTCTTGTTTTTAGTTTCCTGAGCAAATGATTTGTTGGTTTAAAAACCTTCCGCTAACAAACCAATGAACAGAAAAGAGCTGATCCTGAACACAACTGTTTGCACTCTTTTAAAGGTACTGCATAAAGTTCTGAAATAAATCTGCGTTGTGCATCTGTAGACGCTTCCACCATGCTTGTGCCCAGTGTTACTTTTGAACCCGAGTACTAAAAGTCTCCCTCATTTGCAGCTTTGCACGGCTCATCTTCCCAGTGTGTCAGATGCCCCAAGTCACTACCAAGCGGTCTGCCGAGCTCTCTACACAGAAACCAGGGAGCTACGCACTTTTCTGGAGAAGATCAGGAGTGCCAAGGAAGTGAGTCCGTATCGTAATAGTTGTATTGTCAGGAAGATCTGCGAGGTTGGCTGTAGACCCTGTCATACCAGTAAGGAAAATATCAATGTGCTATCTCAAAATTTGACAAAAGCTAATTTTGTTTCACTTTATTCTTTAAACATAAAGAAAAGGCATGCTTTGTTTTATCTATATACTTTTGTACTATTCTATGCAGACTTTGCACTCTTGCATTAAAGGCTCAGCCAAGGAAACAGTCTCAGAATGGAATACTTCCTCTTCCTACTTCCTTCCATCCACTTTCCCTGCCATAGACTCTGCACAGATTAACTCAGAGGCAACAGTCACACGGCTGCTGACGACGGCTGTCAGCTGATGTTAAGACAAACATCTATGACTGCAGGGATAGAAATGACTGGAATGTAGGCAGAAGAACTCATCCTAGAATATTCATGCTGTGCCATAACACTCAGATACTCGCAGCTTTAACTTGATTTACACTTATTTTCTGTTCTAGCACATTATTCATCAATCACATGTAGGAATATGATATATATATATATATATATTTATATGCATGAATTTCAAATCAAGCTTGAAGCTGCGCAGAGGTTCAGACGTAGCTTGAAACTACAGAAAAGAGCAGACTGGGCCATGGGCGTCAGCTGATCCAATACTATACACCGTAGCACAATAGGGCACCCAATAAAATGCGAGCGTGCAAAGTGCGCAAGCAAAACATTTTGGGGCAATTATTTTTTTCAAAAAAGCATGGGCACAATTAATGCAAGCACGTAAGCAAATATTTTATAGCACTTACTTATTATTATAAAGCGTCATCGATAAATTTGTACAATCAGATTGTTATTTTCTGCATCATTAAATATCTACCTGAACCAAAATGAATTGAATTGGCCCACTTGTGAACTTAACTGTGTATCTCTAATCCACTACGGATTAAGATGATTTATCTTCAATAAATATATTTTAGCAAACATGAACTTGCAAACTGAAAACTTCAAATGTAAAAGGAAAACACCTCTACATACATACATGTCTGTGTTTATCATTTCTATTCCGACCCATCCTATGATGGTGTGATGGTGATGATCCTATGAGGCGTGTTTATCACGGTCTGAAAGATTAGAGAGCTGGATGTTCATTTTTTTAAAATTAAACGGTAGCGTCTCGGTCAGTGGCTGGTGGGGTTTTCTCCAGGGGGGGCTATATATATATATATACATACGTATACGTGTATATATATATATATATATATATATATATATATAAGTATATGTCTCCAAGGTGTCACCCTAGAGTTCCCTAGAGAGTTTGATGCTCTCAGTTGGCTTTAAATGGTTTTCTTTGTGAACTTCACTTCTTTTCACTGACATGACACGCTGGTTTAGAGTTTCAAACTGATTGGCGAAAAATATTACGTCTGCAAATTAGTGGTGACGCTTGCTGTTGTTCATGACGACCACGAATGACAAAGCGTTCCAACATGCTGACTATCATCCTGACAAAAAGGGCATAGGTCAAGTTTTTGTGCCTGATTGAGTCGGATGTGATTAAATCAATCACACGTTACGGTTTGTCCACAAACCACAGAGGTTGGTTGCTCCAGGGTGTATCATCAGTTACAGAGGAACGGTAGGTGATTTCCTGATACACAGACGGTGATCTGTAAACAGCAGGGTCACACAGTCACATGGAAATGCTTTCTGCTCAACCAGGTCCCAGCAAAATAGATAACAGTTAACAATGCAAACCTTTTATCAGAGAAACATCCCTTTTTCCCTTCAGGTTTTCATTCAACCAAAAAGCCATGTCTCATTGCATCTTACTCTGCTTTCTCCTTACAAAAAAAAGCCTATGGAGCCATTTTAGGCCCTTGTTTCTCTCCAGGGGCTATTTGGAGCTCCTGTGTTTGTTAAAACTTTGCGCATGAGGAGTCGTGTGTGTGTGTACCTGTCTAGCGTCCAGAGTGAGGACCATTTTTTCCAATTTCACTATCAGATTGAGGAGTGTTATTACAAAGTGAGGACATTTTGCAGGTCCTCACATGCTATTTTTGCTGTCAATTGGGTTAGGGTGAAGTGTGCATTGGTAATTGTTAGGTTTAGGGTTAGGTTTAGGGTTAGGGCATTAGAAAGGATTGAAAATGACTGAAAATCAATGAAAGTCAATGGGAGTAAATTCATGGTCCTCATTACATATAGCAGAATGAGTGTGTGTGGTCTTGTTTTACCTACAATGTGAGGGAAATATTTTGTAAAATATCCTACATGCGAGGACTTACAGGTACATATGGGGACATTCAACTGGTCCCTATATGGTAAAGTTCTGTTCTTTGAGTTGGGGTTAGGTTTAGGACTAAGGTGTGAATTCAGTTTAGGTTAGGATTAGGTACATCTTGGTAATAGTTAGGGTAAGGGTCTGGGTTAGGCCTTATAAAATGAATGCAAGTCAATGAAATGTCCCCGTATGTCATGAAAACAAAGCTGTGTGTGCCATGCTCTGCTACTGCTGCTGCCCCTTTCAGTGCTTGTAATGCATCTGAATGAATGAAGGGGATTTAGGTGGTTGCGTAACAATATGAGAAAGAAGCTTTAGAGGCAGGGGAGTCAAGGAGTGCAGCAATCGTACACTGAAGTAATCACCTTTGCTGTGTTTACAGCACAGTATAAATCCCAGAGCATTTCTTCTGCAGGTTTTGAAAGTAAACACAGCTGCTACATATTTCACCACATTACAAAGACCAACATAGATGAATTTTATCAGTATTTTATGCTGTAGACCATTTCTAAGTGGTGCATCATTGTGAGGCAGGAAGAAACTGATACATAGTTTTAAACATGTTTGACAATAAACTAAATTTAAAAGTAGGAGCACCTCTTCTGTAATCTAAGGCAACAAACTGCCTCCAGAATGAGAAAATGAACTCTGCCTCTGGGTCATATTACCTTTGAAGGTCTCTGAGATTTGATTTGTTAGAAAGCCAATGTAACAATGACCAAAGTAAAGTTTAAAAGTTAAATATATTTTTTTCTTTCTTTCCAATGCATCCCCTTAATTTAATTCAATTCAGTTTATTTATATAGCGCCATTTCACAACACAAATGATCTCAAGACACTTTGCAGTTCACCAGATGTTTTCTATGAAGTTTTTCTTTTCTATCTAAGAAAAAAACAGTTGATTGCATCGACTCATTGACTTGAAGGCAATCCCTCACATTATGCTTGTAGTGACAGTGGAGAGGAAAAACTCCCTTTTAACAGTAAGAAACCTCCAGCAGAACCAGGCTCAGTGTGAGCGGCCATCTGCTGAGGCAGACTGGGGTTCCAGGAGGCAATTACCCCATTTACACTATCCTTGAAAAACCGATCCATGCTGAGACAGGTCCAAGCTCGGATCAGTTAACCAGGCCGAGCTCGGTTCTGACGACCGTTTACATATCACACTATCTCGGTTCCTCGACTCCTCACCTCCTAGTGACGATCTGCGGTATTACTGCCACTATTAAAGGAGGAAATCAAGCAGTCTGTGGCGGTAATGCCCCAAAAGTTGTTTGCCAACCGCCATAAAACACAAGAAGAAGAAGACGAAGAAGAAGGGAATCAAGCAAATCAAAATGGCAGCACCTGTCACATTCAGAAAGTTATGCTTGATTATTATTGCTGTACTTCGGTGTTATTATTTAAAATGCCATTATTTAAAATGTTTTTGATTGCGATTGTTGTTTATAGTTGAAGAAGAAGTTGTTCTTCTTCTTCCGTTTCTGGAGGGGCATTACCTCCAACTACTGGAATGGAGTGTGAATCGCGATGTGCAGCCAGACGGAGATGACGCGTTCTGCTCATGCACTCTTGTTATCAGAGAACCGAGCCAGGGAAAAGCCGAGCCGAGCCCACCTCTGGAACTGGCCTGCAGTTAGTGCGGTTCGGTTGTGTCTAGCTCGGTTCGGTTCAGTTTGCTTTCCATTTACACACCATAAGTTATCTCAGTTACTGAGCTCGGACCGGTCTCGGCACGGTTTTTCAAGGGTAGTGTAAATGGGGTAAGAAGCAGAGATAGAAAAAGCAACTGTAAGAGGCGGCCCCATCCAGGAAAGAATTGCCCAAAATGTAAAATCAGCTTTTCTCTATGTACAGCAGTTGTTGGGCTGCTCAGTGATTCAGTGGGTAGCGCTGCTGCCTTGCAGCGAGAAAGTTCCGGGTTCAAATCCCGATTTCTGCATGGAGTTTGCATGTTCTCCCTGAGCATGCGTGTTTCTCTCCAGGTTAATTGGCTTCTCTAAATTCTCCTTAGGTGTGAGTATGTGCGTGAATGGTTGTTGGTTTTTGTGTTGCCCTGCGATGGACTGGCAGCCTGTCCAGGGTATACCCCGCCTCTCACCTGTAGACAGCTGGAGAGAGGAACCAGCACCCCTCGCGACCCCAGCTGGGATAAAATGTGATGGCATATTAACAGGGAAAAAAATGGAGTGGACAGCAGTTGCCTCCATAAGTGGGATTTTCATTACAAATGTGCACAAAACTGTTTTTACATTCTCCTAATTCTCAAAATGCAATTTTTCACAATTGTAATATATAAATTAAATAAGAAATATAATTAAAATGGGACGTGAATGCCTTTGTTAATGCAAAAACTCCTGAAAACAACATGTTGGTGGTTGATGCAAACACAGGAGATACATCTATATATTTCAGGAACAGCCCATGCGCTCATCGCTGCAAACTAAAGATTTTTGAAATAATCACTGTGCCTTTTGAAAAGTTTTAAAATGAAGGAAAAAGCATGTTAAAAGAGAGTAAATACGTTTCAATACTTTTCCTTTCCAATATGATCCCAATATTAATCTAATGTGATATAAACAAAAGTAACATATTCTATGAGTGTAGCGTAATGCCACCAGCCATGACATTAAATTTGAACATTGGTGGATAACAACGCAGGTATGGCATTGCAAACAGGAACACTGCACAGCTTGAACTCATCATCTTCACTCTGCAACATA